GAGCCTGTTTATCGACCTCTTGATGGATGGCTTATAGTGGGAAGAAGCCAAGAGGACGGATCAGCTGGGTTCTGAGTAGACCTCTGCCAGCAGGCAGGTGGGATGCATTTAACCAGCCTGAAGGGCCTGCATGCAGCCATCTTTTGTTGTTGTTTTATTTCAAGAAATTTAAAAAAAATACCTGTGGTGCTAGGAGATTCTGCTTCTGTGATGGGTCAGGCTTTAGCCATGTGGCCACAGCATCAGGGTATTTGTTGTAAAACTACAAGAAAAGTTGCATATTTATCATTATTTTTTAAAAAAAGAAACACAGGGATTTCCAAGTGATAAACTAAAAAAAAAAAAACCAACCCAACTGTTCTTCACCTATCTTGCTGAATAAGCGTAATCTGCCTGCTGATAGTCAACCAGAGCTGTAGATACCTTTTTAACATTTATTTTTTTCTTGCAGATTAATTTAACAAACTCTTAAATAGCCCTTACTATGGACCTTACTATGGACCAGGCACTCTTTCAAAGTGCTTTACAAATATAAATTCATTTCATCCTTCACCCCCAGGAGATAGGTATCATTATTACCACCACCTGACAGACCAGGAAACTCAGCCACAATGCGGTTAAGTGGGCAGAGGGGGTGGAGCCAGGGACCAAACCCGGGCAGACTGGTTTTCAGCACCCTCCTCCATACTGTGCTTTCTTGTTCTAGGCCTGCTGGCTGGATTTCTCCCTTGGAAAAAGCACATCTAAAGCAGAGGTGCCCTCAATTACTGTGGATTTTCATTGTTTCCTCACCATGGAACAAGGACAATTCTCTAAGGCTATAATATCTGCTGACCACACGGGGCTTTTAAAATGTTAAGTTAATTAAAATGAAGTGAAATAAGAAATTCAGTGCCTTAGTTGCACCTGCTAAATGCGAACTGCTCAATAGTCACCCGTATCTATCTTACCAGAGCGTACAGAAATAAATTAACATCGTTGCACAAAAGTTCTGTTGCTGTAGGACGCCAAGAGTGTCCAGGAAATGGCCTTTTCTTTAGCAAAGTTATTTATCTGGAAAATGATGATAATATGCTCATGCAGAAGAGTGGAAATTGCTCTGAATAAGTGTCATCTGACCAGCTGTATCATGCAGGGCTAATCACTTCATGCCCCTGTCATGGAGAATGGGAACCCTGAGGGTTGGAGGGAGTCCCTTCTGCAGCCACCAGAGGGAGACATGAGTAGGAAGGGGAGCAGTCTGTAGCACTTAAGGTTTCTCTCATGGCCAGCTCTAATCAGGGAAGCTTCTCTGAAAGGTTTTGCTGAAAGAAGGCGTTCGTTGCCTTAAAAATGATGCAAAAACTACCGGACTAGATGAATTCAAAGTTTTATTATTTATTTTTCATATATGTATATTTAAGTCTGTACAGATATGTATATATTTTTTCTCATGGCACATGTAATACTGCCTCAAGGAGAATGCACTTATAAGTTATATTTATACTTTAAAAATGTGATATGAAGAAAATATAATAAGCAAAATGAACAGACTAAAACCCACCCAGTAATCCTAACACTTACAGACAGCCAGGGTTTATTTTCAGGGGTATATCTTTACATTAGATTGTACTAGCTCTAACTTTTGGGGATTCTAGAAGGTCAAGCTCTTTGCTTCTCTCTGAAATGTCACTTAATGACTTAAACCGTTACAGCTTTGTGTGCCTTTAAAAAAAACACTCTTGCCATATTTTATCCTATTAAAAAGGCATTCATTCTTGTTTCAAATAGTGTGACCTCTATCTTCACTGCAGACACTGATTTTTCCTGGTTTCTTACTGGAATAAACACCTGTGTCCTCAAATCAATGGGAAAACAAACACACCTACACACACCCACTCACATCCACGTACACAGATGTGCACACAAACACACAGAATACTTCTTTTAATGTCTTCATTAAGCAATCTAATTACAGTGACCTCAGGCAACTGCAGCTCGACATTGGCTTCTATTCTGCTCATCTGGAATTGAACTCTGTGTGACTTTTTGTGCAAGCTCCTGGGGACAATGCCCATTTGTTGGTTGGCTGGCATGATTCCAACTCTTGTGAAGGGGTAGGTACATCTATGGGGCTGGTCAAATAATTAGGACGAAGAGTCTGGTCTGGTCTTATGTTTGGTTAGAAAAATGTGATCTAATGTCAGCTGACAAGCACAATAGATACAAACAGCACACAGGGACCTTCTTTGCACAATGGGCTTTTAGGCGACTATCTCAGTCAATATGGTGACTACTACGGTCATACAAACAGTCCTGACGAATATCAGAGGTGAATTTTAAACTTAACCTTCCACTGAGTAAAGCAAAAGATAACAATTTCCAGCTCACAGAACAGGATGTGGACCCCCTAGGAAAGAAAAAACCTCACAACTTCATAGAAGTCACTTTCCATGTGACAATGACCTAGACCATTAATTTATTATATCAGAAAAATCTAGCTTGGTTTTGTGAGCGTCTATTAATTAAAAACTAGACTGTGCCTGGTACTAGTTCCCTAGCAGGCAGTCAAGAAACACTTGTAAATTTATAGGCTTATGAAGATGAGTAAAATTGCCCTAAATATGTTTGTCGTGCCTCTGGTAATAGCGGCATAAATCATTTAACTGCATGCTAATTGTAAAAGAGGCTTACCTGCTTTTCCTCAGAGCTGCCAGAGTCAACGTGTTTAACCTTGGAAACAGAAAAGAGGAGGAAAGCTTACAATGGGAGCGTGTTCCTAGCACACGAAGGCACACAATTCTGAACCTCGCAGGAATTTTCTGTTAGATTCAGCTGTACTCACTGGTAGGGTGTAGGCAATGCCCAACAGGCAGAAGCAAATCACTGCAAGTCTCATGGTTGTGATTTTTCCTGCAAAATATTTTGTAAAGGAAATGTAATGTCTTCAGAGGCTAAAACCGGTATACGACCATGTTATAAAATAATCACAAATAAAATATAGTTTCTGTAGACGCTATTCTACTTTGTAGGACAGACTTTCCTTTTTAATAGATGGTCTTTTGAGTTAATATTTGTATCGCCACATCTGTTCTCCTTCTCTTACTAATAAGCAAGGCAGAGGTGAATTTTATACGTCTATCTTTATTCATTTCTTAACTTTAGACTTCCAGGGATTATACCATTACTACCTGGTATTGGTATCTCCAGTTATTTTATTGTAAAAACAGACCCACAGTCATTTGATTAAACTAATAAGCTCTTAAGGGAATACTTAACTTTTCAGAGAAAAACACAAAGAGAAAAATGAAAGAAACTGGCTTTCTATTTCCAACATGATAAATCACTTAAACTGTTCAGTAGGTGCTACTTAGGTGAAGTCAGGTATGTCAAAGTTTGCAATGAAAAAGAAACCTCTAAGGCTATCTGACAGCTTTTCTGTTTATGATAAGGAGTCTGCATAGTGTCACACAGGTATGATGGTGAAATTTTTAGTAGCTAAATTTAGAAGTAACACAATCAGAAAGGATTTCTTAGCTTGAAAAGGAGATAAGGCATTTAAAAAAATAGCATCCTCCTTGGCGTACATTAGCACAAAAGAGCCTTTTTCTTGCAAATGCTCCCACAGACATCTACCCATTTAAGATGATACAGGTATAATCATCTCAAAGAGGCATAGATTTTTTCTTTTTCTCTGATTGAAAGCTGCAGTTTCTGTTCTTTTGAGGACCCACTGGAAGAATTTTAAAGTTTTATATTTGACTGGCTTTCAAGACACCCGAAACCTTTGCTCCAGGAGACCTGCAATGCCTCTAATCTGCTTATTCAAAAGGCTAGAACAGTTTGTTGAAGACTGTTACAGTTAAAACTATTTTCCTTAGAACTTTGTTTTCCCCATAAAATTTAGCTGAATGCAAGAATGCCACCACAGCAGGAAACTGCAGGCTTACCCTGGTTGTTGTCTGGCTGGGAAGGCTGCCCCTGGCCTGAGAAGGGTCCAGTCCTGGAAGATGCTGTGCTCCGGGCCTCCTCTCCTGCTGCTGACACCCAGCACCTCCCGGTATTTAAATGCTGCTCCAGACACTCTCCACCAACACAGGGAGGCGGAGAGATGGGTCATGAGGTTTTCTGCCACTGCCCAGCCCACCTGCTCCCACACTTCCCCCCTCTGGTTTTGTGGTTAGGGGAAAGAAAAAAAACCCAAAAAAGCAGACACACATCTACAGTTAAAACATTACTCATGTGCAATATCATTAACTAGCCTTTTCATTTATGGGATGGACATGCAGCATCCAGGAAGAACAGTTAGGGATCTCATTTGAAAAGAGGAAGTCAAATGCTTCTTACAAAGATTTTTATTGTTTCTGAATTAGAGGAAAAATATTAATGTAAATCAGCACTAAATACATGAAATACAATGTATCTTTGTTTCTTTCAGCTTAGGTAACAGATAATATGTGCAACCACGTCTGCCTATACAATTATACTTACTGAAGAGCTAGATCACCACTGTTCAGGTGTATCAAGAATTCCAAGAACTTCCCTCTATCCTTTATTACTCAGGCTCAGTTTTGTGATTTCAAGTATGTAGCAGCTCCACCGGTTAGACAAATGGCATTAGTAACGTTGAAATTCCTGGTCATGCCATTAAGCTGGGATCACGGTGACTTTTCAAAGACATGGACTTTTGTTGCACTGTTTGAATGGTTTGGAAGTAATGGACCTGATAATTTGCTATATAAAACAGAAGAATGGTAATTGAGTAAGTAAGGCAGTTTCTGAATGAGAGCAGAATGACTGCTCAGGAACCAGACAGAGACTTTGCATTCCATCCTGTCACTAACGACCTGCCTGAACTTCATCTATCAACACTTATTTTCTCAGCTGTAAAATGCAGATACTATTTTTTTTTTTTGAGACAGAGCCTCAAGCTATCCCCCTGGGTAAAGTGCCATGGCATCACAGCTCACAGTAACCTCCACCTCCTGGGCTCAAGCGAGTCTCCTGCCTCAGCCTCCCAAGTAGCTGGGACTACAGGTGCCCACCACAACGCCCGGCCATTTTTTTTTTTTTTTGGTTGCAGCCATCGTTGTTTGGCGGGCCCAGGCTGGGGATTCGAACCCACCACCTTAGGTGTATGTGGCTGGCGCCTTAGCCACTTGAGCCACAGGCGCCAAGCCAAATGCAGATACTATTACCAAGCTCATGGAATTCTTGAGATTTAGTATAAGTATATGTATAGTATTAGTATATGTAAAACTAACAATGCTTGGCACGTATTAGGTACAAACGCCCTGTATATATTAAAGTCTGTGGACATATATTAACTATTACCAAAATTTTTACAGGGAGCGATAGTCATGATTTATACTCTCTTTACATGGAATAGATTATTAGGAGAAGAGTATAGGTAAGATCTTCAAACTGTGTACATCAATAGAGTAATTTGCACACTTCTAAAGGAACAATTAGATCTCTAAATTGTCTTTTTCTAAGTTTCCCCCCCCCCAGGATATATAAAGTTGGCTACTTAATGAGAAAAAGTTTATAAAATTTCTACATCAAGAAATACTTTACTATGTATTTAAAAGGTGTTTGGATGAAAGAGAATTACAGGTGCCGTCTGAATATTGGAGCAGAATTCAGGAATAGCAGAGTTCCAGATTCATTCTAAATATTTAATATTGTCTTGAAATTACCTACCCTCTTCATTTACCTATCCCAGTTGTGAAGTGGGGATTACATTATTCATTTACCTTACACCTCCAATTGTAAGAATCATGTGTGAGTTGAGATCAGAGATAAATGGTCCCATTTATTGTTAGCATAAGGTGTCAGCTCCTGGTTGCCAAATGTTGCTTTTAACATAAATATTAAGTAGTCTCCTGCAGTGTTTGTAGTAAAACTAATCCATAGGTTTTAACGAACATTTGGCAGGGGGACGTGTATCTTTTTAAAACTGTGTGTATTCCAAATGAATTGGTATGTTGTTTTGTAGGTTATAGGCCTACACTTTAATAATTAAGATGGCACCTATCTCTATAAAATATAAAGCACACAGGGTATACAATTGCAAAATAGATTTCTTTTTTCTGCTTTTAAGAAGAGTATTTTTTTCTTTAAACGCCATTACTCACAGAAGCTGTCACGTTGTCAGTCTAGTGGAGGGAAGTCCACAAATGCTAAAAACAACAAGATTTCCACAGGATTTACTATGGTTTACTCTGTGCCCACGAGAATGATTCAATAGGAATTTAGGGAGTTATAGGAATAGATTTTGCTGGAGCCCAGCCATCTTGAGACGAACCACGTGACCCTTCGCAGGCCTCTGCTTGTCATAGCGCGAAAGCGCCACACGATGGCAGTGTTTCTGAGAAGGATTCGGGCTACAATCTGCTTCTACTAATTCTCATATTCCAGCAGGATAGAGCACCCTGGTATCTAAGGACAGAACTATGATACAGCTGTGGAGCTCTCTGTTTATTGGAATGCCAGGTGAGGAAATATTTCCCAACAATGAGCCGCTGTGCAATCAGGGACAGAGAGCAAGAGAACGAAAGCTCGGGGTTGCCTTGACCAATCGCAGGTTGACACTGCTGTCTCTTCCCCACTTCCTACACTGGCTCCAAAGGTTACTAACGCCCAGGTCTCACTCGGAGTCAAGGTCTTGCCAATTCATGCGTAAGGAATGTGTCTGGGATGCTCCAGAGCTGAGAAGATAAAGTGATTAGTAACAGGAGGCAATTCTGTAAGTTAGGAAAGGGAGCGACAGTGCGTCAGGCCGACTTTTCTGGAGGCTCTTGCTTTTTGCTTTTTGTACTCAAACATGGGGCTGCTACTTAGTTTTATCTGAGTGGGATTTTCTAACTGTCAGAATTACCACGTTAAATGACTTAAATTACAGAGGCTCAATCTGTAGTACCCACAGCTTACATTCTTGTAAGCTAATGGTTGTTAGAATCAAATGGTCAAAATGTCTGAATTTACTGCACATCTTATACATGGAAAGGAAAAAGTTCAGTTGTTAAATTGGAATGCAAAGAACAGTTTATGATCTTAAAGGACATATGGAAGCATACAAAAACATGCTTTTTTCTGAATCACATAAAAATTCTCATATAAAAGAAAACAGTCTGCATGAATGACTATTTTTTTGTGGATTTTATTGTACTGCTTCTAGTTTACTTGAACATTTCTAATTATATTCTGCTTAGTAAAGTGTAACCAACTATTTTAACTTTTTCAGCTCCACTAAGAAAGATTTCACCACGCCCCCTCCCTGTGTCAGAGTTCAGATAGGTAGGACTCTAATACCTTGACAAGATCACTAATCTGTCATAAAGAAGGCGACAGAATTAAAGCTAATCAGAAGTCCAGCACAATACCCAGCCTTTGTAGTCTAGGGAAAATGGGCATCACTTATCAGAGGGTAGAAAGCCAAAGTGGAAGATAAAGGTGCTGTTTTCAAGTTCAGATATGAAATTAGAAGATTTCAGAAATACGAAAACCACCAGAAAATAGCTTATCCCTTTGCTCAATAAGTTAGACAACAAAATTTAGCTCCAGTAAAAAAGGTCTCATTATTAGTAGATAATAGTTTCAACATGAAACATATGAAAAACATTTCATTTTAGTCCTATGGAATTGTTACGGAGTAAATAAGTATTCAATACATTGTTGGTGATTACTGGTTCATCTCTCATGACAATGAATTCTGAGCATGTAAACTTTGCTTATGAGTGGAATACATGGGCATTACGCTTGAATTCATAGTATATCTTATACATTCATATTTTATTTATTTATTTATTTATTTACTGCAGTTTTTGGCTGGGGCTGGGTTTGAACCTACCACCTCCAGTATATGGGACCAGCGCCCTACTCCTTTGAGCCACAGGCGCCACCCTCTAATATTTCTTTATTAAAGTTCATTACTGACTCTGAGGACATTCATTAAATAATAGTTCTTTAAAGGGCACTTAAATTATTAACATTTTCTTTTTTCTTTCTTGACACAATTCTTATCTTCATGGAGCCCATTTATTCATGAAAATCAACTAAGGAATTTGAGATTCATGTAGCCAATGAGGTGAAGGGGGTACGGTTAAATGGTAAACTCCACGGGGGCGGTGGATGAAAGGGTAAATGGTAGAGACCCTAGGTCTACAATGGAGCTGAAGGGGTAGGTGTTCTGGGATTGGGTTCAAACAGAAAGTCCACCTTTGATCCAGCATCAATCACAGCAGCATACACTGTATACCATAGCAACCTGCAGACCAATACAGGAGCCTGTAATCAGAGAGAATCCACAGAGGGATGTAGGAAACTGTGGAAAACACAAATAGAGGATTTGAGAGTTTATGAGAATTCTTATTTAAAATCTGATGTTTGGGTATTTTTTGGTATAGAATTCATCATAAGATTGATATGAAAAGTGGCTATGTCAATGTAGAACAGAAAAAAAAATCAGAAGAAAAAGGATAAAAACCAGACAACAACAACAAAAGCAGTTAAATCAGATATTTTTCTAGCCACACTGGCTAAGATTTTGTTTGTTTGTTTGTTTGTTTGTTTGTTTAGAGACAAAGTCTTACTCTGTGGCCCTCAGTAGGGTGCTGTAGCATCACAGCTCACAGCAACCTCTAGCTCTGGGGCTTAGGCGATTCTCTTGCCTCAGCCTCCTGAGTAGCTGGGACTACAGGCGCCCACCACAACACCCAGCTATTTTTTGTTGCAGTTTGGCCAGGGCTGGGTTAGAACCCATCACCCTCAGTATATGGCTGGCACCCTACTCACTGAGCCACAGCCACTGCTGCTCCCTGGCTAGGTTCTTTTTGTTTTGCCAAGTTCTGCTAAGAAATAATTCTCAGTAATGTCATATTCTATGGTATAACATTTATCTCTTTTAATATATATGATATATACATACTTTTGAGATAGAGTCTCACTCATTTGCCCTAGACAAGAGTGCTTTGGAGTGAGACTAGCTTACAGCAACCTTAAACTCTTGAGTTCAAGCAATCCTCCTACCTCAGCCTCCTGCGTAGCTGGGATTACAGGTGCCCAGCTAAT